GATACGCGCACTCGAGCATAGTGCGCGCAGGAAAATTGGGAATGATCACGATAATCACGAGACGGGCGCTAGCACGGGTGCACGGGGTGCGCTGGCGCTGGGCGAAGGCGTCACGCACGGCAGCGGTACACGCGCATCGGACGAAGCCGCTTGCGCGAGCGCAAGCAGCGCGCGCGGGGAGGAAAACGCTGGGCGAGATGCCTCATTCCTCGAGGTATGCGGACAGCCAGGCGGAGTGCACGCGCGCGTCGAGGCAGCAGGAGAACGTGGCGTGCGCAACACGCCGTGTAATGCCCCGTTTACTTGTGAATAATTTGGGATTATTTATTATTGCATTGTTATTATTATTTAGATATTATTTATATTATTTATCTAATTGTCTTAATTGCTTATTATTATTATTGTTATTATTAAATGCCTAATTGTTTAATTGTTTATTTAATATTAAATAAATATTATTGTGTGTATTTATATATATAATATCCAGTTATTTTTATTTTCTCGTTTCGGTAGAATGTATTCGAGGCCAATAACTGGCCGTTTTCACATCTAACTCTATAGCCCCTTTAAGCTATTTCGTTCGACCCAAATCGAACTTATATTTTTCGGCCCAATTGCGTTAGAATCTCGGCCCAGTTTAAATGTATATTTCGGCCCTTTTGAAACTCTTAGAATCGACCCAAATAACTTGTATTTTTTGCCCATTGTACCTCAGATCAGCCCAATTTTGTCTTGGCCCAAATGGAAACATCAGCAGCTCACTTTTTCCTCATTCCTACGTGGGACTGACCAAGTCTTCTCCCTCATCTCAACAGTTCTTCTGTTACGATTTTGCAGCGAGAATCATATCTCTCGAACGACCCACCTTCATTCCTCTTTTATATCTCGGCCATATCGAGCGGAGCACGAATCACCCAAAATCCCATCTCCTTCCTTCTTCGATTGATTTCCTTCGCATCACACCTTTGCCGTAGAAATTCAGACGCCGATTAATCTAGCCCTCCTCGTCAATCGTGAATCGTCAATCCTGCCGGAAAGAGAACATGGCCGGGAAATTCTCAACTCATGTTCAAATTTCAGAGCCCATCAAGGAATTCCCCTCCATCGCCATTAATCCATACAAGCTGGTCAACTGAGAGCACAACTCTTTTCGTGAGATGTCGACGCGAGCAGAGGAGCATTTCTGATTCTCGTCCAATTTCTAATCCGCCATCGAAGACTTCACCGGCGGTTCATCACAGCAACACCTTCACCTCTGTCGATACAGATTTCGTCCATTCACGCTGAAAGCCACAATCTCAGACAACCAGCAGCAACTGTGCCGAGAAGCCATGGAGGTGGGGCCCGCTCTCTCGGCCCAAATCCTCACCACCTCCATCCCTTTCGTTTCAGCCCTTCATAATAGGCGTGTTCTTCGTGCAGCGGGAAGCCGACATCCCGCGAGGGGAAGCCCTCACGAGCAACAGCGGGCCATGTCCACTAGCAGGCAGCCGGCGACTTGTCCCATAGCGGTCGTCCGAGTTCACGAGCAGACCCAGCCTTTTCCCGAAGAACAACGGCAACCTTCGTTATGCTGTTTAATCTGAGAAGGTCTCAATCACGTGAGAAGCCATCTCCGAGCAGCGGCAAATCAGCCGAACGTCATTAACCTGCCATGAGTTGTTTTTCAGCGAGCAGCGGCATCCTTTTTTTTTTCTCCTCTCCGAGCAGCAGCCTTTCGGGCCCCGTGGAGAAAAATACCAGCACGTTAGGTCATCAGACTGATTTCTTTGACCAAGGCCATTGATGAAACCCTCCTTCATTCGTTTCTCGTTAATTCTTGAAGGAGGTATATGGTTTAATCCTCTTTTAAATATTTAGAGTGTATTCTGAAGGATTTAATTAGGCTTAAGGTTCGTTGAGTTGAGAATTTTTTTTTTTAATTTATGAGTTCATGAGAATAAGCATGATTTGTGATATTGTATTACATTGCTTGCTATGTTGCTGTTCATGAGAATTAAGAGTCAATTACGTGCTTTGGATAGGTTATTGTGTCGTATATTGAATTTATATGCGTTTTGGATATCAAAGTGATTGCCGTCACTTTGGTTTATTATCGAACTGAGTTTTGAGTGGTATTTTTCGTGGAAATCCTAGAGTTATAGGTACTTGGAGTTGTCCTTGATTTATTGGTTTTGGTTTGGGATCGTTTCGATGTGTATATGCCAAATTATGAATTTTCTAATCCAAGCATGTTGATGAATCGTAATTAATTCCTGATAAATCGTGTGATTGTCCAACTGCCATAAAATTTTATATGTGATGTTCAGTGATGATTTTGTATGTCGTGTAAAATTTTCAAGTCGAAACTCCACCGGTAGCTATTTTAATTAATTATATAGGTTTCTGGTCAGAATTTTATAAATTTCATTAAAAATAGTACACTTGGAGTTTTGAGCTAACACTTTGAGGAGTATGTTATTTTGTGGTATTCCGTGTTGTGTCAAAATTTTGGATTAAAATTCGAAGTGTAGCTATATGAACTATTAATGTCGGGTTTTGACACTGTTTTTGTTTAAATTATATAAAAATGCTCCCGGATGAATTTAGGGCTCAAACTTGGTGAGATTATGTGTTTTTGTATGCCTTATAATGTGGTAAAGTTTCAAATTTATTGGTTGAGTCTAACTCCGAATTCTGAACTTTGTTTATTTTGGAGTCTTAATGCTCGGTCTTCCGTTATTTAGGTTCGGATTGGATTTTAATGATGTTGGCATGATTTATGTGTTTTACCTGAGCTATATGAGTTGTGTCCAGGTCTAGTAGTCGCTTCAAAGTACTTAACTCGGTCAAAGAATCCACGAGTCACTTAGTCGATATGATTTCGGCTAAGTATATGTGCTTTGTGTGTTGTCTTGGATTGGATAGTCAGTTGATAGGCTATTATAATTGTTGTAGGTTCATCGAGCTGAACTTTTGCCATTGTTCCTTCAACTCTGTGTTTAGCTACATCTCGGTATCCATGTGGGTTTTAATCTAAAATTTGCTATGCCGTAAATAACTTATTTGTTGTTGGGTTGGTATGATCAATGCATGCTTGTGAATTGGTGTAACCTTCGATGTGAGCTGTATATCCTTCGAACGGTTGTCCCCGTCGATGTGAGCTGTATGTCCTTCGACGGTGCCTTGTGAGGCAATCTCCCTATGTCCTAATGAAAGGCAATACCGTTGAGAGTTGTATGTCCTTCGATATGCACTCCCATTGTTGAGAGTTGTATGTCCTTTAATGGCTAATGATAGATGTGCACATGAGTGAGGTTATTGGTGTATTGATTGGAGATGTGACATGTTGAATTAATTTATGATCGTGCTGTGACTATACCCTTACTATATTATGTCGTTATTTACGTGCATAGTGGTGAGCACAACAGTTCATCGTGCTCACTCCCACCTGCTCTTTATTGATGCAGGGTAAGTAGGTGCTGGCTGACGAGACAGAGACGAGTGGTGTTGGTCTTTGACTGACTTGATTAATTTATTCTGCATGCTAGTAGACTTAGATTTATTTATGCTTATTTATGACTTTGGAATTTTTGTAACTTTGAATTGGGAGATGTTCCCTTATGAATAATTTAGATGAAACTGGGATTTATGAAAACAATGGATTTATGATTTATGATTTATGCAAATGTGATTTATGTTATTATGTGATTTAGTTCGAGTAGCGCCACTGATTTATGTAAAGGTTTCGAAAAGAATTTCGAAAAAATTAAGTTGACTTTTTTTGAAAAGCCTTTGACTTTCGTAAAATAAAATTGGGGCGTTACACGCCAGATGGGCGACACGCGCGCGCGAGGGAAGCGGTGCCCTAGTCCTTGAGGACTAGGGCGTGGACCAAGGCGGCGACCGACTTAGGGGCGTGCACGCGCAAGAGAGAGAGGGAAGTTGGAGGCGGTTGGAAGACTTGGTGTGCAAGCCAAGATATTTAGTTCCCTTATTACATTATGAAATCTAGATTAATTAGGATAGTTAATATTTTATTACTTTCTTAGAGTTATAGTTATATTAGGATTAGATTTAATTGGTGCCTATAAATAGGACCTTCCCCTATGTTATTTTTAATCATTCAAGAAATCAATAGAAATCTACAACTTTGTTCTTCCAACTTTGCTTTAGTCTTTTCACCGAAATACTACTGCAATTTTATTCGTTTCAATAGGCGCGGTTGTGGCTAGAGAAACACTATCGGCGATTCAAGGCGTGGGTTAGCGGCTTATCGGCAGTCGAAACACACGATCCGCATCACGCGGGCATGCGCGTTGGGGCGCTGTGATGAAGGATCGGATGTTCGTGTCCTCGACTTGTCTCGATCACGGCTTCGCCACGGCCTTGCTCTCGACGATAGGTGTGATCGACTCGGTTATTAGCCTAACTCTCTCACGATACTTGAGTTCATTATTAGCCTCGTTTCACTCGCGAAATAGATCGGGTCTTAGCCTCTCTAAATCGTTGAACTGGTTCGGGTCTTAGCCTCACAAATTCGATTTGTATGATCGAATCTCACGACTCTCAACATACGGTTTCGAACAAACGTTCTTTTCTATTCTATTCCAAGACTATGAAAAACAATGGGGGATGCTCCCTATTTATAGATCCTAACTATGACTAATTCTAATCTACCTAGGAAACATATTAAAGCAATAAAATATTAAATATCCTATACATTCTAGATATTATTGTGCAAGAAGGAAACTAAATATCTAAAGTCCTAAATTGACTAGATCTTGATTTTGCTTGGCTTGCACTCCAAACAAATCCCATCTCACATCCAAGTACTCTCGGCCGCCTCATTGCTTACGCCGCCTCTCACGCGCATGCCCCCGCACGCCTAATCCTCGGCGTATTAGGTCTCTCGCGCGCGCGCTACACGCGTGTCCTTTCGCGCGCGCGCCCAGCCCGTCGCCTTCCTTGTGCGCGTGTGCGTACCGCACGCCTCGCACTCCTATTTCTTCCACGCATAGGTTTCGCGCGTCTGCCGCCCAATCGCGCGCTGTCGCGCGCCCATCCCCTCGTCCGCTATTCTCGCGCGCGTCCGTCCCGCCGCTACGTAGTCCTATGCCCTTGCAGTTTCGGACGACGCCCGCGTGGTCCTCACCCGCGCGCCCAGCTCGCCCGCCGTTCGCTGCCCGCGCGTACCTCGCATCGCCCGTGACCTGCTCGCCTACCGCACACCCGTGTACACCCGCGTACACCCGCGTGCTGGCCACCCGTCGTCGCGCATCACCGCCCGATGCGCATCTCTCGCCCGTTCGACCCTCGGTCACTCCCGACCATCCTTCAGCCTCGACGACCACTTCCGTATCATTCCCCCCCTCTTCAAGACATTCCTTGTCCCCAAGGATGAGAAAGTTCAGCACGTCCACCTCACTATCTTCTTCAACGGGAAATTCTCCTTGATCCTCGGTTCTCAGCTTAATACGTTTACCCGGTCGTCCAAACTCCATCTTTCCTCGCTTGTAGTCAGTTGTAATTGGTCCAAGCGTTTCAAGCCATTGTACCCCGAGCACAATATCTGTTGCCTTAAGTGGTAAGGCATAAAGATCAATCTCCAGCTCGTGATCCTGTGCCATTATCGGAACCTTCTTGAATAGTTGACTTCCTTGCAGCTCGTGTCCGTTGGCCACCTTGACACCAAACTTCTTGACCTTTGTGGGTTCTAGCTTCAGCTTTTGGGCTATCCTTTCGTCGATAAAATTTAAACTTGACCCACTGTCCACCAGAACCTCCAACAACGTATCTTTTACTTCTTGACCTTTTACCTCGTTTCACTCGCGAAATAGATCGGGTCTTAACCTTCGTAGGCGGTCAGATATTTACTGTCGCTTTCACCGGGATTATGGCCACACCACGGAGAATTGCAGACATTTGAAAAATGAGATCGAGAGGCTGATTCGAGCGGGATATTTGAAGGAATTTGTGTACCATGATAGGGTGAAGGGGAAAGAAAGGAGAAGGTGTAGGGAAGGCTCAGAGGAAAGGAGCGATAGAGATGAGGAGGGAGATGGTCGAGACGGTCGAGGAAAGAAGCCAAGGAGAGATGGTGACAAGGGAGGGCATGGAGGAGAGGCCCCTCTGAAGAGAGGAATGATTTACATGATTTTTGGGGGGCCAGCAGATGGTGACTCGAATAGGACCAGGAAGGAGCACGCTCGAGCGGTGAAGAGGAAGAGAGAGGAGGTGGGGATTACGGCCAGCATGCCGGTGATAAGTTCTAAGGCGGAGGATGCCGAGGGAGTGGTCCTGCCACACAATGATGCTTTGGTGATAACCACGGAGGTTGCAGACTTCGATGTGAAGAGAGTGTTCATTGACACTGGGAGTTCGGTAGATGTGATGTTCTATGACTGTTTTGTGCAGATTAACAAGGAGTTGAATATGGAGCTGAAACCGGTAACCACGGCGCTTTACGGTTTTAATGGGGGAGAAGTTATGCCGATGGGAGAGGTCGGTTTGCCCGTGGCATTGGGATCGGGAGAGTTGAGGAAGGTGCGCATGGTGAGATTGGTGGTTTTCGGGGCTGAGTCGTCCTATAACATCATCATGGGTCGAACGAGCTTGAATGCATTCTAGGCGGTTGTATCCACGTACCACATGACGATCAAATATCCGGTGGGCGAAAACGTAGGGGAGATTGCCGGGGATCAGCTCACGTCAAGAAGTTGCTACCAAACAACAGTCAGCAATAACAAGCAATTGGTGAAAAGGCAGGCCGAGTCGAAGGGGGAAGAAACCAATCGACCAGGAGGATCGAGGTCGAAGGAGGAAAAGCAAAAGCTAGAAAAGGGTAAGGAAAAGATGGACATCCAGCCTGGAGGAGAAGTTGAGGAAATTCAGATGATCGAGGGCCATGAAGGGAGAAAGTTCAGAATCGGGAAGGATCTGGAGGAGCCTATTCGGTCGAGGCTGATCGAGTTGGTAAGGGAGTTCGTTGATATTTTTTCCTATACAGCGGAGGAGTTAACAAGAATAAGTGCTGAGGTGATCGAACATCGGCTAAATATCGACCTCAGCGTGAGGCCGGTGAAGCAGAAGAGAAGACACCATGGTGCGGAGATGGACAAGATTATCGAGCAGGAGGTCGAGAAACTATTGGGAACAAGGCATATTAAGGAGATTCAATTCCCTGAATGGCTATCGTACACGGTGATGGTGTCGAAGTCAGAAGGAAAATGGAGGATGTGCATTGATTTTCGCGACCTGAACAAGGCGTGCCCGAAGGACCTATATCCACTGCCCAGAATCGACCAGCTGGTCGACTCCACGGCAGGATGCGAGTTGCTGAGTTTGATGGATACATCCTAGGGGTATCATCAAATTCCCTTGGCGAGAGAGGATAAGAAGTGGGTGAGTTTCGTGACGAGTCGAGGGACCTACTGTTACGTGGTCATGCCGTTCGGTTTGAAGAATGCGGGTGCCACGAATCAAAGGTTGGTCGACAAAATTTTCAAGGAGCAGCTAGGGAGGAACATGGAGGTGTATGTGGATGACATGTTGGTGAAGAGTAAGAAAGAGTTGGATCACGTGCGAGATTTGAAAGAAACGTTCCTAACATTGCGGAGGTACGGGATGAAGCTGAATCCTGCTAAATGCTCTTTTGGGGTGAGGTCCGGAAAATTCTTGGGTTACTTGGTGACCAAGAGAGGTATTGAAGTCAATCCGGAGAAGGTTCGAGCTGTGATGGAGATGAAGTCGCCAGCGAATGTTAAAGAAGTGCAGATCTTAGCTGGTCGAATTGCGGGGCTGAGTCGTTTCATATCAAAAGTGGCGGAGAAGAGTGGCCCATTATTCAAAACGCTGAAGAAGAGTGCGAAATTCCAATGGACAGAGGAGGCGCAGAGGGCATTTGAGGAGCTGCGAGGGGTGCTAGCCAACCTTCCATTGTTGGCTAAACCCATACAGGGGAAAGAATTGGTGCTATACATTTCCATTGGAGAGAGGGCTGTGAGTTCGGTGCTGTTGCGAGAGGAAGGAATGGCACAATTTCCTATCTATTATGTGAGTAGAGTGATGCAGGGGGCCGAGACGAGGTATTCGGAGATCGAGAAGTGTGCTTTAGCTGTGGTTGTAACTGCTCGAAAGCTAAGACCTTATTTCTTGAACCATAAGGTGAAGGTGCGAACGAATATGCCGCTGGGAGAAACACTTGGCCGACCATCGGTCTCTGGTCGATTGGTGAAGAGGGCGGTTGAATTGAGTGAATATTCTTTGAGGTATGAGCCGAGGAGAGCCATAAAAGCACAGGTGTTGGCTGATTTTATCCAGGAGGGCACGAAAGTTGAGGAGGAGTCAGAGGGATTATGGCAGTTGTTTGTGGATGGATCTGTGGCCCGAAGTGGAGCAGGATTGGGAATTGTCCTTGTCTCTCCCAAAGGTGATTACTTGGAATTTTCGGCTAAAGTGGGGTTCAAGATATCTAATAATGAAGCTGAGTACGAGGCGGTGATTAAGGGCTTGAGTCTAGCCAAAGAAGGAGGAGCTCGAAAATTGCAAGTGCATTCCGATTCTCAACTGGTGGTTGGGCAGTTTCAAGAAGGGTTTGAAGTCAAGGAGGATAGGATGTAGAAATATGTGGATGAGATGAAGAAGCTGAGAGAGGAGTTTGATTCGTTCGAACTAATACAAATTCCTCGAGGAGAGAATGGTCGAGCAGACATGTTGTCGAAGATTGCTCAGAGCTTGGTTGATTGTAAGAGTAGAAGTGTCACTCTGTTGCATCTTGAAAAGAGTGTGATCGAAGCGAAGGTGGCGGAGATCGAAGAAGTGGAGGATTGGAGGGCCCCGATTTTGGAGGAGCTCAGAGGAGGAGCGATAAAGGTGGTTAGGAGGTTTTTTGAGCATGGAGGCATTCTTTACAAACGATCATATGGAGGACCCCATTTGCGGTGTGTTACTAAAGAAGAAGGTCGATACGTGCTGAGAGAGATGCACGAAGGATGCTGCAGTGATCATAGCAAGTCAGGGGCTTTGGTCGCGAGGATCTTAAGAGCGGGATATTTTTGGCCAACGATGAGGGAGGAGGCGAAAGCAATGGTGAAGAAGTGCTTGCAATGCCAAAAGCACGGCCCCCTTATCCATCAACCAGCAGAAGCAATGACAACGATGAGTGCCCCTATACCATTCGCTCAGTGGGGTATCGACCTGGTGGGACCGATGCCTCAGGGAATCGGGCAGAGGAAGTTTTTGAAAGTGGCGGTCGATTATTTCACAAAATGGGTGGAAGCCGAGCCCTTGGCAAAAATAACAAAGGAGAAAGTAATTAAATTTCTATACAATAACATCTGCTGTCGGTTTGGCGTACCCAAGGTGTTGATCTCAGACAACGGCACGCAATTCAATGGTAAGCGGATTCGAGCTTGGTGTGAAGACATGAAGATCGAGCAACACTTTGCTTCCGTTGCTCATCCGCAAGCCAATGGCCAAGTCGAGGTAACCAATCGGATTATATTGAGTGGATTGAAAACAAAATTGGAGAAGGCCTCGGGAGCATGGGTCGATGAACTGAGTTCTGTGCTTTGGGCATATCGCACGACCCCGAGGTCGACGACAGGAGAAACCCCGTTCAGCTTAGCCTATGGAATGGAAGCGTTGCTGTCAGTCGAGGTCGAATTATTATCCCAAAGGTCGAGAACATATGATGCGGAGCAAAACAAAGAGCTGGTGATGGCGGCCCTAGACACCATTGAGGAATTGCGGGGGAAAGCATCAATCAGGGTGGAGGCATACAAGCAAAGGATGTGAGCTGCTCATGACAAAAAGGTGAAGGTTCGCAGACTCCAAGTAGGCGACTTGGTTTGGAAGCGTGTCGATGTACTCAAGCATGTAGGAAAGCTGGAGCCAAATTGGGAAGGGCCATACCTGGTCGAGCGAGTGCACGTAGGAGGAGCGTACTCACTCAAGGATGCCGAAGGCCGATCACTTGCCAGGTCATGGAACATAGCTAATCTGAAAAAATATTATGTCTGAAATTTTTCGTTTTCTTTCTTAAGAAGCCTGGGAGCTCGAACCATGATGTAGATGTCAAAGTTTGTTAAAAGTCAATGAAATTCAGTGATTTTTCTGATTTTTCCCACTTTATTGCACATTTTCTTATGCTTGGAATGTTGGCACAATTTGGATGACAGGATGTATGCGGTATAGTCTGACTTGAAGTTCACTTGTTTAGAACATTCCTTGGGGTGGGCAGGTTGGTCGAAAACCTCCTGTTTAGAACATTCCTCGGGGTGGGCAAGTGTGAAGACCCAAACCGACCATGACTAAGGCCCTCGGGCTGGGTGGTCGCTTGTCTAGAACATTCCTTGGGGTGGGCAGGTTGGTCGAAGACCTCCTGTTTAGAACATTCCTAGGGGTGGGCAAGTGT